TTTCACCCCCTAGGAAGAAGGTGAGGGCAAACCATTTCTCAGTTGTGCCAAGACAACTGCGGGAACTTGTCCAGGCTGTCTCCAAGATTTTGACACAACTGAATGGAAGAAAAATAATGACAAAGCTAAACATTGTGTATTTGCACACACTGCTTTCAGATATCTTTAGTTATGCAGTATATTTATATGAGTTAAACCATAATCTTACTGATTTTCATAGATATCCCCAAGAAACATACTATTTGTGGATACTTCTTGGCATTGCCACCCAAATAGAACAATTCCTTATGTCTTGCATGTGCTTTTTTATATAGTGTATATTAAGGTGATCAACTGTCCTCCTTTAGGGAGGACAGTCCTCCTTTTGTAAGTTCTGTCCTCCCTTGAAAAGTGTCCTCCTACATGTCGTCCTTTTTGATATGGGCTTTTTTTTCTTCATAGAATGCTCAAAATGGCATTCCGGCACCTTTTTTTGATGTTTTTTTTTTCAACTTTTGCATGAGCTGTGCTACTTCCACTATTGGCTTTTGAAAGCCAATAGGAATTGTTGCTGAGCGCGCCAAAGCACCCGGCTGGCAAACTTTGCATATGCAAGTTGTCTGTATTATTGTTGCAATGAATAAAATGTTTCTTTTATTTACAATATTTTTTTCTTCAATTTATTTGTGTCCTCCTTTTCATTGTAAAAAAGTTGGTCAGCTTATGTATATACATTTCCTGCTAGTCATGATTCTAAAATAGAAATTCCACTTTCTGATTTCAGAAATATTTACATCCTATGTGGACAGGACCTAAAGTTCAGGCAGAAAGAACCAATGCAAAAAAGGACCTCTGAGGCAGAATTAGTGCAGCATCCGGTAAGGTGGGCTTAGTACTGGAAAAATCACATAATTCTGGGAAGCAAGTCCTGAGGGAAATCAGAGCAAGACATTTCTTTACAGTGAGAATTTTGGGGATTGGGTAGAGAGGTTAAGCAGATGTATTGCTTATCTTACAGAAGTTGTGGCCTCATCTTGGGGAAGATAGCAAGGAAGAACAAGTTTGATAAATTCCAGGATGTAGATGGATGAAGCATAGCACAACTAAATAGCTATTTACAGTGTGTTAGCTTAGACATATATTTATGTTCTTAAATCTTGAACAGTTTCCAATGTGGCTAATAATTAAAGATAGTCATTTAAAAACAATCAAACTTTAACTATTAAAATGGAGCACCATAAAGTCATGTAAGCATCATACCCAGATACAGATATTAAGATCAGTGCTACCTAGCAACATATCAGCATTATTATCCTATTATTATTTCAAGGAAGGTATCTGGAGTGTGCCAACTCTATCCAATCTGGTGGTATGAGCAGATACACTCAGGTCCTGCAACTAACCTAAGCAGATAGAGCTTTAATTTAAATCATTCAGAGAACCTCCATAGATGTTTGATGATTGGATTTCTTTTCTTACAAACCTCAAGTCTGCACAGATAGCACTGCCTCTTATTTTCCCTCACAAAATTATTCTTGTCAGGATATTAACAGATTTTTATCAGGCTGGTCGGACTGAGAGAGAATGTCCAATGAGCACTTGTAGCTGAGGATAGACTTGAATGTGGCTGTCCTTCATCTTAACCATTGCACTATACTGGACATCATATTGAGATTGTGATGGAAGTAGTGGCTGATCTAATCTGAGCTAATTCTCTCCCCTCCCTCCCCATAGATCCAAACATGTGTAATAGATCTGTTGATATCCTGGCAAGAATAATTTTCATTTAATTTCTTGCTCTATTCTCATCACATACACAGAGATATATCACTAGAACAATTGGGCTGTTTTGCTAAATTTCATCTCCTTTTTTATTTTGTTTTTCTCTTAAGTTATTTTCTGTTTCATTCATGAAGACATAAAAATCTTTTGAAACTTTTAAAAATAATCTGAGCAACCTGAAAAAAGGTGGAATCAATTCAGCAGCATATACGGTATACAGGGTAGTCTTACATAAGCTGGGCCCTCTACCAGATCAGAGGACAAACTGTGGTCTAAATCAGGCAGTTTTATAGAATTCTGCTGATCGACAGGGTTTGTTTGTTTTTAAATGCAACCTTTACCGTGTAGACCTCTGTGCTATGTTATTTAAGGTCGATGGCAGTTTCTGATTAATAAAGAAAAAACTGCCCTTATTTCAACCTTATTATATGGCTCATATTATTTCTCTTGTTTGCCTATAAGTGGTTCTTTCTCTCAGGGATAAAAAAAACAAACATTAAGTGATCCTTCTCTCCATGCGCTCAGAACCTGTTTAGAGCTCTAAAATATTTTTTTGTTAGGTGCAAGTCCCAGATAAATGCATCTTCTGATTATCAGAGCCCTGAAAACCATTCCAAGAGCCTTAAAGTTACTATTTTGGACAGCTAAAACCTTGGGAGTGAGGATTGTCAATGTTACCTTGAAATATATATTTTCATTTTGTCAGAGAGTTATCATTCTGAGAGGATACAATGAACCTCAGGGTCTGGGCATCAGGCCAAACGGTGTCCTTCAGTAATTATACGATGCTCTTTCAGATTCCCGCATATCTGAAGGACAAGACAGGCCCACAGATTTTTGCAAAGCAACAAAGATAACACCACCTGCAAGCCCTAGAAAGAGGAGGGCAGATCAGGCAGAACATCTTTTTGGCAGAACAAAAATGCAGCGGAACAGGCACCGAGTGAACTTCATGAACTGCTAGAAAGTGATACCATCATCCTTGAAAGGAAGCTCTTTGAAACTTTCCCTTCATCCCCCCTCTGGAATTTTTAATTCAGGCTTATGTCCTCATTCTAGAAGCATGTTTGGTTTCTCTCGGAATATTTAAATTAGTGGTTACAGTCTTGAAGTTCAGCAACAAACTTACTCATCTCACAAACTTCTCCCTCATTAACAGGGCCCTGGATATAAATATTTCCAGGCATTTCATTTATAGCTATAAAGGGAAAGTTTAGCCCATGCAAAAGAATGCAAATCTGGATCTGCATTTTCCACAGTAATTAATGGATCAGTCCTGATTGAGAGGGATTCTGGATTTTTGTTATCAGATATCACATACCCAACCACATGCAGAGATAGACACAAACTGAGATCAAATTTCTCAATGAACCAAAAAGCCCAAATGCAAGCAAAACAGAAGATGATTGCATAGATACTCATTTTTTTTCCATTGTTAATATTCCCCCTGCTTCTAATAACTGTAGCAGTGGTAGTTCAGCAGTACAGCTTTTCCAGCTGTTGAATTGCTTTCTTTTATCATGTGGCTTTGAGCAAGGATGGACAATCATTTGGTCTTCAACAGCTAGATCAAGGTTGTATGTGCATGGGCATCCCTTATATGTGTACATGTAAACATGCATCACATAGTTATGCCTCTCATACAGATAGTTGGTTTTCTGCTACTTCTAGCAGCTGGATAGCAATGGCAAGGCTGGAAGCAGCCAGACTGCTTGCTTATTTGATAATAGTGGCAGCTGGAAATCTAGTAACATTAGATCAAGATACTGGAAAAAATGAGTAAGATTCCAAGGGTTGCACTTTGGGCTTAAGGGACACATGCCATAAAATATACAGTTGATGTTACTAGGTGTCCTAGATATGGCACAACCTCAATCTAATTTCCTGTTGGACTATGTCCCAGGTCAGATATGAAACAATGAAAGGAAATAAAGGAAATGCACGTAGTCTCACATATCATGCGGTATATTGGTAAACTGGCTTTTCTTAAAGCCATGTTGGCAGATGAAGTTAAGAAATCCAGATGTGTTTTTTTTAATCATTCTATGTTATTGCAAGTAGAAAAGAGTTTTTATTTTTGATACTTTCCTAATGCGACTGAATCTATTCCCCCCTCCCTTTTCCCAGGGATTGCAATGCTTCTTCCAATCTTGAAAAGAAAGGAGAAAAAAAGAGAGGGCGAGAACAAAGTTGCATTGTTTAAAGCAAACAGCTTTCAGTATCTGGTGGAACAAATACACAATTGCACACCCAGACCTCAATCACTAAACCCAGCTGGACAAAGACAGAGTGAAAAATGCACACAACAGCAAGAGAGAAAACACTGTTATCTCGTCTCAAAAGGGCTCCATTAAGAACAATTCTATGACCACGCTTTCTCTGTTTTTTGTTAGCCATACCATTTCAGAAAACTGAAAATAGCATTTATTTTCCTACTGATATGTGTCTTCCTATTGACTTTCCATTCCCCAGGAGGCTTTGAAAAAAAAAACACCCAACAGCTGAAATTAAAGAGTTTTTTTCCTCCTTTAACTTGTTTAAACACCTGCACCATCAGCATATCAACTGTGCCTTATTTTTAGAAAACTCTTCCTCAAGTGTTCCTACAAAACAGCAGAGGGCAGTCAAGTGATCTGCTGAACAGAAAAGGGCACTCAAGGGTAGAAACAAAAGGCCAGAAGTGTTGGCATAACCTTGGACCAATTAGTCATAACCCAAGAGTCGTAATCAACACCTAATTAGAATTTACAGATCTGAATTTTGCCATGGGAGGATATAGGAATGATAACTACATAGGGGAAAGATAGAAAACTCCAATAAAAAAAATATCTTATATTTTTCACTGCAGGAAAAAATTAGACATTGACTTGGTTGCTCTGAGGAACTCTGGAGATATTAAAGCTGCGAGGACAGGGAAGGCCCACCAGGTTGGGAGGTGAAGGTTGATATGGATGTAAACTCCCATTAATGTAGATTTGGTCTCTTCCCAAGCCCTATCAAATTCCAGCACCTCAAATAATAGAAAAGAAGTTTCATAATATGAGCTGAGCTGAAGTGCAGCCAAGCCGGAAGAAAATTGCATTTGGCATCCAAAAAAGAATAGGACCATGTGATCAACAGGGTGAGGCAGTGATCCAGGAAAAGAGCTAAAGCTCTGTGGATTTTTAACCCAATCTTTGGACTCCATGAATGGCTGCTAAGATTAGGTAGGAACATATCCAATTTGAAACGATGGATGGGCTTTTATGTGTGCATTTGGGGGACTGGTGGAATTACCCTAAGGAGCCATTATGGCATTGATCCAGACTTGTGCACCTTATTAATTATATACTACAAGTTTTTTTTTTTTTAAGTACATGAATGCTGTTAAACCTAATGGACTTAACTGAGGCCAGTCATAGTTCAGGGCAGGAGAGTATGTTGGATAGAGAATTATATGACCCAGTAGGACTTTTTATACATTATTATAAATTATCTAATTAATGAAAATGTTCTAAGGAATTCACTTTCTCCATCCTGAAATACACTCCTGAGGGAATTAATCCTGTGAAAGAGGGCTTGGATCCAATATATAATTCTCCAAACATACCATGTTTTTACAGATTTACAGAAACATAAGTGAGACTTTCACTGGGCCTCTTTTATTTTACTAAGTCACTAAACAGGGAAGACTCCAAAAGGAAATTGCTCAACAGTAAGTACTACTGGAAAATGTTACAGTGGCTGAATTTTTTTAATGAGATTTCAGGGGAAAAAAATAAAAGAACTACATCCTGAAGGATCCTATTCTAAGTGAGTCAAGAGTGCCAAGGCAAAGAGAAATTTTATTTTGGAAAACACAAAGATTAACAGAAAATAGAAATTGTGTACAGGCACACATGCACACACTTCACATATTTTTTTAAAAAATCATCCGACAGGTTTTCTATAGCAGGGCTTTTCAACCAGTGGTATGGGTACCACCTGTGGTACATTGGCACCTGGCAGGTGGTACGCGAGCACCCTAGAAAAGTGGTAGTGGGGGAGGGGAATGAGCTGAACCGGTGGCAGCACCACACAAGCCTGAGCGAAAGATGTCTGGAGCTGCAGGGGTGTCCGGGCTCAGTGGGAGCGCCAGGATCAGCGCTTCTTCAGGACTGTCAGGGCTCAGGGGAAGCATCAGGATCAGTGCCAGACTCCAGCTGGAGCTCGGCGCTGATCCTGGTGCTTCTGCTGAGCCCAGAAGAAGCACTGATCAGCTGGAATGTTGCAGCATCTCCAGGGTCTTGTGATTTACATTCAGATGCTTGGCAACTGATTCGTATTTATGACGGTCACAGTGTCCCAGGGTCATGTGAAGTGACCAAAACCTGCTGCAACCACCCAGCAGACAGTGGGGGGGGGGAATAAAAACCAAACGTCCCTCACCCCACTCCCGCTGCCAATCCTCAACAGAAATGCTCACAACAATGAAAACTTTGGACAGGAGGAAGAGTGCCACCGGGCGGGCCGGCAGGTGTCTTGCTTGGCTGTGGCTTGGGGGGCACTTTTTTCAGTGCTATTGTAACTTCGAACAGTCACTAAGCAAACTGTTGTAAGTCAAGGACTACCTGTACTTTATCACTTTTTTCCTTTTTTTTTTTTTTTTGGTCATCAAGTTTTTGACACCTTAGTGGGCGACTGGTGGTACTTATATGTTGCCATATCCTAAAAGTGGTACAATGGGTGAAAAGGTTGAAAAGCCCTGTTCTATAGCAAGGCCGTACAACAACAATTTCAAAATACTTTAATAGGGAAAAAGGGTGGGAGGGCAAATTTCCTGATCAAATATTAGCTTTATTCCTGATTATTCATATTACATTGAGGTACTGGCTCAATTTTTTTATCTTGCCAAAGTGCCAGGTTGTTGATGCACTAAGTCTAGGAGACCCCCTAAATTGTTCTTGTATTAAGCGATGGCTTAACTAGTATGTAGACAAAAATGCTAATGGTCTAATATAATATAATCCCTCCTAATATAATATATAATATACATTACAGGTTATATAATTATCTCTTCATATGGCACATGATTCTCATTTTATTTATTTATATGATTTTGAAAGTGCTCTTCCAAGGCATTGCAACAAAGACACTTGTAACAACAAATATAATACAGTTTAAAGAAACAGCAGCACTGCAGAAAACTGAAACTTAAAAAAGTATAATAGAGAAAGAGGTAACTTGGCAATTTTAAATCCCTGAGCCTAACATGTTCTGTCTTGATAAAAACTGTAATGTTGGGCCAATTAAACTAGGAGGAGGGTATGCTTCAAAGTTGGAATTCCATGAGAAAAAAAAAACTTTTTTTCAGATAGAGACATATGTACATACATATATACATACATACCATAGGTACATCACCTGCCAAAAGAATCTGGACAATGTCCTTATTTCAAGATAAGGAATTGCTTCTCAACTGTTCAGAACTTTTAAACTACCAAGTGCTCTAAATTAGACTTAGAAGCAAATAGATCTGTCTTCTCCAACTTGGAGCCCTCACAATCATGTTGAAATTCAGCTGATACAAATGATGGTCACATGACTAAAGAAAATGCTAGCTGGTGTAATGTGCTAGGTTCCCAGGATCAATGCCAGATTTCAGTTTAGTCCTTGGTGATTCTCAGGCCATTCTCTTTGGATTCTGAAAGAGGAGCAGGAACTGGTGTAGGAATTCAAGACAGTAAACAGACCACAGCTTAGTTGCAGGAAGTTCTTGTAGTGATGCAGTAAACATAGTTTAATTCATCATATTACCATACCTTGATTACTGCTGAAGCCAACAAAACTGCAGATGATCATTCTGGGGAGTTGTAGTTTATATCACCTAGAGCAGTGGTTCTCAACCTTTTTAATGCCGCGACCCCCAACCGGTCGTAAGTCGAGGACTACTCAACCGGTCGTAAGTCAAGGACTACCCAACCGGTCGTAAGTCGAGGACTTTCCCTGCCCAGGAGCACTGCGCATGCATGGTGCCGCCCCCTGCGCTGGCCGAGGTGTAGTTGGCAAGGGGCAACGACGGCGCAGGGCTACCACCGGCTGGCCACCAGCTGGCCCAGCCCAAGGGAGGTAAGGTACACACTGGGCCCCACACATGCGAGCAACCCTCCCTGCACCTGCTGGCCTCCCACCTCTCACCCCGGGCCTCTTTTACTTCCATTTTTAGTAGTTGCTCAACAGGGAGGGGTGGAAACTTTCAGACAGCTCGCCTTCGCTGCAGACAACTTGCAGCACCGTTTGCAGAATGGGCTCAGCAGGGCAGAGACAGCCTGGACAATTCCTATTGCCTTTTGAAAGCCAATAGAATTAGACTCTATTCAAGAGCACAGCTAAGGAAAAGGGGAAAAAAATGGCGGACTGCGTTGTTTGGCGACCCCTGTGAAATGGTCATTTGACCCCAAATGGGGTCACGACCCACAGGTTGAGAACCGCTGACCTAGAGCAAGGTCTCCAAACTTGACAGCTTTCAGACTTGCTGGCTGGGGAATTCTGGGAGTTGAAGTCCACAAGTCTTAAAGTTGCCAATTTTGAAGACCCCTGACCCACTGGTAGAGTGAAGAATGGAGTAGGTAAACTATGTAATTCTTTTGGAATTGGAATGAAATGGTTCTTCCAGACGAAACCAAAATTCTAAGGTCTTATGCTACTTGAATGCTTGCTTATGATGACTGCTGTTAAAATTCTTGATATCTTGGAGTAAAAATTCTCCTTGCCGTAGTCAAATGCAAAACCTTAAATGTAATCAAAATTGCAGCAGGTTAGAGCTAAGCTCTTCTTATATCTCTCTCCAAAAGCCACTTTGGGGGCTAGACTTAAATCCCATCAGCTTATATGTGAATGTAGAAATCGGGGAGTCATTTGTTTATCACCTGACCAGGCATTTCATTGCCATTTTTAAGAATCATTTCCCCAGCATGCCATTTTTAAGCACTCCACTGTTTGAGTGAACTCTGTATCTAAATTGGTATCATCATTACACATTCATAGAATTTGGGATATGACAACATTTTTGATGAAGAATATTTCTCCTCCCCTCCCCCCCCCCCAAAAGTACTGTATGTCAAAAGTAGGGCTAGGCCAGCAGGATTTCCATTTTCGAACATAAAGGCAAAACATTTGCATGTTTCATCCTTAGGGCTGTAAAATTAGGTTGAAAATGAACATACTTAAGGGAAAGAAAATAGACACATATCCAGCTCTTGTAGTTTTGCTGGCTTGGTAAGAAGGACTAGAGGGTTGCATCAGACAGGTTGTTCTTATGAAGATCAGAGGAATACTTTGAGGAACAGATAAGAATCAACACCTTGCTGTAATTCATATTCTTCTGTCATCTGGCACGAAAGTTAACCCTTAGCCTTGGCTGATATTGGTCTTATTATTAACACTGTGCTGTTCCATTAGAATGCACATCAAAGCTGACCAGCTGTTTCATCATCTCATGCACAATTAGCTGATTTCACTAACTGTTGCTGGTAGGTTTCAGATTTTTTTATACTGTGGAAATAGCTGCGCTGACCTTCTGCCCTCCATAAAATATGTATGTCGGTATATGCATTGAATGGCCAGCAATACAGTTTTACATAATTAAATTAAAAATGTGTCCCCAATTATAGTTAAGCCATATTTTCCAGGAGAAATTCATAATTGTTTGGGAAAGCATGGATAACAAAGCCAGATATAATATATATAAGTTTAGAGTTGTGCCAAACATTGGCCCAAGAAAGCAAGAAGTGGTTAGCTATGGGGTTGTTTCACAGTATTTATAAGCTTCTTTATTTATTTATTTAGAAAATTTATATTGCCGCCTACTCGCACATGACGATCCAACGCTGCTTACAGGACATATTTATAAAGTATTTATAACCTCCTAAATTCATGACACACAGTAGGATTGTGGCTTTATAGCTTATTTCCCCACTAGTGATTTATAGCATTTTAAGCATGCTAACTAATGTTGTGTCCAAATAACAGGAATGAGGGTAGGTTTTGTTTTATTTTCTTTATTTCTATTTATTAAAGTTATATGCCCCTCATCTCACTGTTGATTCTGGGCAACTTTTTCAATTCATTCATTGTTGTACCTTAACTTGTCTTGCAACAAGCCATTAAGGCAGCACCTCTCATCTGTCCAGTGGTGGGATTCAAATATGTGAACAATCAGTTTTCTGTGGGGATGCCGCTTCCAGAAGTCCATTCTGGGCCTGGGCAACAAAAAATTAGCTATCGGTTCTGCTGAACTGGTGCGAACTAGCTGAATCCCACTACTGCATCTGTCCCTTTCTCTTTCCCAAAGTGGAGTACAATCCAGCTGGATAGATCCCTAAAGAGCTTTCTCCTGCTATACAGTATGAAGTGGTAAGCTGAAGACATGCCAGTTTTATTAGAAAGTCCTGCCTTTAAATTCTATGTCAACGACTATAAGCTATTTGGAAAGATTTGGAAAAATGGGTTTTTACAGCCCTGCTTTTCCAATTTTCAATAAAGTAAATACTTGTCTTGCAACATAGAGAATAATTATGAAGCTCAAACTAAGAAACCATTTAACACACACACACACACACACACACACACACACACACACACACACACACACAAACCCCTGAAGTTCTAAACAGAACTTTTCTCATTATAAATCTTACTGGTTTTTGTGGGACATTGTTTAGAGCAGACATGTCAAACTCGCGACATCACGTGACGTCATGCGACATATCGGAACTTTTTCCTCATTGCCGGCAATGGGGCGGATGCGGTTTCCTCGTGACCCATCCGGCTTGACACCCCTGGTTTAGAGAGTAAACAAGCTTAGAAGCAGGCAGTAAGAGGGTTGTTTATGTATGATTGTGCTCCCAGATTAGAGCCCGGGAAGGTCCTCTAATATCAGCAGAAGTATCTTCTCCATAGTATTAGGCTGAAATTTGAACAAACAATTAAGTGTCACATTTTCACATTTTAATTTGAGTAGAAGCAATTTAACCTATGAATACCTGCACATCAAAACCTGTGAAGAGGATTTTTTTTACTAGCAAAGTAGTTTTGATCTGTTTACTCTGCATTCAGTAATACTTGCATCTTCTTTTGTTCTTATAGTCCAAGATACATGACAATTGGAAACAAACAAGTCTATTAAAAACTAGTAAGCTCTGGATAAAACTATTGAATCTGAAATCAAAGCCAAGTTAAATAAAGCCATGTACATTTGAATTCCAAGCCAAAAGTTTTCCTCTTGGTCGAATATGGGCTGAATCCGAGACACAGCCAAGATTCTGGTTGTATCTTTAAATGGCGCAGGCCATACTTTCCTGCTTTTATGAATTAATAACAAATGCATGTATTATTACAGGATCCAGATGTTGCTTGAAGAATGTTTTCCTTTGATGGATCTACACTGAGTGGCTTGGAGGAGGAAGTCTGCATTTGCCAGTTGCTCTGAAGTTCATGTTCTGCTATTCCTCAGAGCAATACTTCATCCTGTCAAAATTTTAGGGACAGAATATGTTTTCCATTGGCTTAAATGTGAAAGTAAATGAAGCAATCTCAACAGTGTTCTTCAGACTTACTGGTTGGATGCATACAGGATCAATGGGGTTGTTATTTTAATTGCAGTTCTAATTACATTTTAGAGCTTTAACTGCCTGGCAGAATGGTACCAACTTTCTTGGGTCTCAAGAAGCTACTGTAAGCTAAATGGGGTTGGACCACTAGGCATTTCCAAAGGTGTATGTAGGATGTGTTGGAAGAAGAAGACAATGGCAAATCACTTGCATATGAAACATAACAACTTGCTATGGTCATGTAATCATTAGGAGTCAAATTTAACTCAACTCAAGAGAAATGTTACCTTTTAATCTATTTTGGGCATAAGGAGGAAAAGTTAGCCTGGAAAACCGCAAAGACTTGAGACTAAGTCATTCCTTCCCATACTGATGGGCTGATGATATTTTTGCAGCCTTTAGTAACTTTCCTTTGAGGAGCTTCCTTATGTCCCCAAATATCATGGAATTTTCAATGCTCACTTAAAGTTGTTGCTTTCTTTTTTCCTTTTCAGCATGAAAAGTTGGCTCAGGAGAATATGATTTGGAATGGAGAAAAAAAATAGGGAGGAGAACTGAACTTTTTCCTTGCTCATTATTTCAGTGCTCTCAACTGCTGTTTTCAAGGCTTTTTATCTCAATGAAATCATTTGAGAGCAAAGGAGACAAAGTCCTTAGGGCAGTCTGGAGAAGGAAGATGACACACAGAGAAATAATTAAGTTCCCTGTTCTATTGTTTCTTTGCTTAAAGTCATACCCTTTCATATTGACTTTTCATGCAAATAATCAGAGTTACAGATAGTCTTAAAGCCTGCAATTGGGACAGGCAATTTCATTCCTAAACAATCTGGTTGTTAAGTGAAACATCACATGACAATGCCAGATTTATGGCATCCCTTCCATTGCAATCAGTAGGTGCAACATCACACAACCATGACTTGGGACTTAACTGCTGGGTTGCCCATTGACTTTGCTTGTGGGAAGCTGGTTGTGAAGTGCCCAAATGGCAATCAGGTAATCGCAGGGACACATGAGAGCTGTAATTTTGAGGACTAGTCATAAAGTTACTTTTTCAGTCATGTTGTAAGTTTAAATATTCATTAAACAGTCAGAGCAGTCATTAACCAAGGATTACCCGAATATGCATTTGGCCTCAGAATAGCACCAGTCTGCACCATTTACACAGAGCATTCTTCAGTATATAAAGACTACAACAGCTACGACTTCCCCGTGGGTGCAAATGAGGTCTGACATAACCTTGTGAACAAAAATCAGTGAAATCCAAAATATGGTAACTGTTGAAAAGTCAACTGGAATCTTTAAATAATTTGCAAGTGCAGACCATAAACCTAGTCAGATAGACATGTTAATTTATTTTCACAAAAAAAGAAAAAAAGTTACATCTTTGTGAGGTTAGCAAAAGGGAACCCGTTGGTCCACTGGAGTTCCATCATCTGCATGGCTGAGTGGGGATTTCAGTCTAGATCTATCAAGATTTAATATGTTGAACTCTAACCCTGGACTTGCTTTTTAAACTACTAAAGCACCACTGACATAATTTCAGATTTCATTATGACATATTCATAAGACGCTGCCTGGCAGTCATGCAGACTATCAATTGACTGGTAATAATTTTCTGCCATGTCAGGAACAGTCTTTTCAACTCTGACATCCTCTTAAGATATTAGATATCAGAAATTAAATTTGACACATGTACTAGAACAAACAATAATTCTTCTGTAATTACAACTTTTTTTATCAGAAAGATAGCTTGATCACACTAGATAGATAATTGTTGGTAAATCGACTCTCATTGCTTATTTATTTATTAAATTTATATGCCGCTCAGGATAAGATAACTCTGGGGGCTTCCTTGGATCACAAGCAGATTTTGTTTTGTTTCTGAGCCTATGAATAGAGCTGAGTGTAAAATAGAAAATTCTTACTCATTTAAATCTCAGTACAAATATAAATAAACATTTAAAAGAACAGAAAAAGTGATTCATTTTAATGCTAAGTAATATATGCCTGAAAAAGAATCCAGATTTTGCAACTACTGTATATTAAGGTGTCCAATATATTAATACAATGTATACTGTTCTGATGGCTCTCGTTTATTGCAATCTTGACATCATATACTATAGTGACAGCTACCTGTTTATAGCTAATGCATATTAAAAGGATGCATTCCTGCCTAAAATCGGCTGATTTTGAAAAGCTAAGCAAGCTCAAACCTGCTCAGTATTTGGATGACACGAAGGAACCCCAGGCTTTGTAAATTAAATTGAAAAGTTAGGAAACCATCCCAGAAGATGACAATGGTAAATTATGGATTTACATGGATTTGTCCACTTAGTCCTCAGAAACTGGGCTTTACTTTAGGACAGTGGTCGGGACCCCATTTGGGGTCAAACGACCATTTCACGGGGGTCGCCAAACAACGCAGTCTGCCATTTCCTCCCCCTTTTCCTTAGCTGTGCTACTCCCTTTTATTCTATTGGTTTTTGAAAGCCAATAGAATAGACTCTCTTGAACAGAGTCTAATTCTATTGGCTTTCAAAAGCCAATAGGAATTGTCCAGGCTGTCTCTGCCCTGCTGAGCCCGCCAAAAATCCCATTCTGCAAACGGTGCTGCACCAGTTGAGTAGTCCTCGACTTACGACCAGTTGGGGGTCGCGGCATTAAAAAGGTTGAGAATCACTGCTTTAGGATGTTTTATTGCTTTACCTTTACATATTCCCCAAATGATAAATGGGAAACTTCACCATTTCCTGGTAGGTAGTGCTTTAAGCTGTTATGCTTAGGGGTCATCAGTAGGATTCCATAAATAGCTTATTGTGATAGCACAAATCACAAAAGCACTGCTACATGATGTCTGCATTGCTCCTTCTCACATAAGAAGCCTCTCTGTGATTGATACCTACCTATCAGCTTGATGCTTTCTTCACATTTGCCCAAGGCATTCATGAGGCTGGGATAGTCACAAATAAACCCTATGATGGAGCAAAGTTATCAATGCAATTGCTGCAGACAAAAATGGAAGAACCAAGAACATCTCATTGCAATATGTCCTTGGCAATGTTCCATAATCATCAAGGCATGACTGCCATGTATTGGCTGAACTGCCAGTGATCAGGACAATAAAGATCTTTCTACATATGCTGTAGAAGACAGAATGCAAAGGAGACCTTCATCTAACCCAGTGGTTCTCAACCTGTGGGTCGGGACCCCATTTGGGGTCGAACGACCATTTCACAGGGGTCGCCAAACAAGGCTGTCCGCCATTTTTCCCCCTTTTCTTTGGCCACGCCCCTGGCACCCAGTGATGTATAAGTGGTTGGGGGTCACCACAACATGGGGAACTGTATTATGGGGTCGCGGCATTAGAAAGGTTGAGAACCACTGATCTAACCTATGTATTAATCCATTCGATCTTGGAGAAAACAATTGTGTATATGTCACATGTAATGGCTATGACAATGTTTGTTGGAAAAATCAATCTCTCTTCAGCAATTTATTATCATTTTGTTGAATTTAGGATGTAATGCCAGATAAGCTTGTGGGGAGGGGAAGAGGGGGGTGGAACACCCACAACCACAACTAATACCATAAATCTCAACTTTGGGGGATTTTCCTCCCCAAAGATTGACTTTTTTGTGACTCCAGTCAAGCAATATGTCATCAAAGTACACTCTGTGTGTGTGTGTGTGTGTGTGTGTGTGTGTGTGTTTATGTGTGTGGTTTTTCTGCACTTTTTTACGCCTCAGAGCTATGGCTAGGCTGTGAATATTCCCATGGCAACAGAATCATGAACATTCAACCCAGCACTGTTTGAAGATATCTATCAACTCGGAGACCGTGTCTCTCATTGAGTGGAGCAGCTTCTGTCTGCAAATGATACTACATTATTGTCATGAGGGTGTGTGAATACCAGGTGAAATTTCATCAAGGTTGAATTTTCCACTCTCCTCCTTGTACAGCCGGATCAATTTTGTTGCAGAGGGGGCGTTCTCATGACAGATACAGGAACCTGTGGTACCAGGGGGTGGCAACTGCAATTTTTCAGGATGTTACAGGTATCAATATAGGCTTCCTTCATTTTCTTTTTTAATTTAAAAGTTAAACATAGGCCAAGTATAATAACATCTTATGTGAAAAGACAGATCTTGGGAACTTTGCCTATCTTGCGGAATCTCAGCCATTAGAAAGAAGGAGACAATGGATATCAAGTAGCTTCTGTTTTTCCAACCTTCACTAAGTAAAGTAAAGCTGTTACTGTTTTGGAAACAGCCTGTTGTCAGATTCTTGCTAAAAAAGCAGCCTAGTTTTCATAGGAATCTGCTTTGTAATGTTCACATCCATCTAGTCTAGTACTGTCACTTTGATTGGCAATGGCTTTCCAGTCTAAGGGGCTTCCATCTCCCCATTGTTTCTAAGCTTCAATCCTTCAAAAATACTTTGAAAACAGCTCTTGGTGTTTTTGTTTTTGTTTTTCATTTCCTCCAATTCAGAAACATGCAAAACAAGGAATGAAAATCAAAATCCTGTCTTGAGCTTCAGGCCTTATGGTAACAGGCATCCACTCGACCTGCATTCCACATAAGAGGAAAAGAAAGGGAACAATTTAAAAAAATAAGCAGTCCTGTTGGTTTTCTCATCCCATTCATCTCCTGAAAAACAGTGAAAGTAACAGAATTTTCTCAATCTCACCCTTTCTTGCTTGCCTAGGCGGCTGAAGTGGACAGGGGATGCTGACCAACATTAGTAGTAACAGAAGGGTGTCAGAAGATGAAGGCCTGGGAGGGAGTCAGAGGTGAAGGAAAAATTCTCCCCGGTAAAAATGCTTTGCCACCCCACCCCCTCCCCCAGCTTCAAAGAGCTGCAGTATTCCAGCTCAAAACCAGCTTCAGAGGGCTCACTTCATGATCCGCTCAAATGTGGCATGAACTTCATCTCTTCCCCGACCCACAGCTAAGGCCGCTTAAAATCCTTTTTAGCTGTTCCAGTTATAAAGTAGCATTTTCCTTCTCTCTCTCATCTGATTTTCATGATGGAAGTCCACTAGCACATTTCACTGACAATGTGGATTACTAACACAGTCACATGGCTAGTATCTGCCAGGCTACTACCGGTCCATTTAGAAAGCTGCAGGCATGCCATCCACCTTCTGCTAGCTAGGGACTCTCCGGCCATTTTGACTCGGGCTGCAGGAGAGACTGGACACCTGGTTTCTGCCCAAGTAAAGCATGATTAGTGCTTTTTGAAGCGCTTGCACTGGCTGTTTATGAACACGGATTTAGTGCTCTTCTGAAAAGAGAGGTAGACTTGGATTTACAAAACAGGCCCAGTGCTCTCTCAAGCACAGAAAATTGATTTAAACTGAGAAAGAGAGTTACAGTCTGCCACTTCTGTGTTGCCAGTTCAGTCACTACTGCATGGATTTCCTCTGCTTTGGGTAAAAAGAGAGTTTGCATGGCCATACATGCATTTTACTGTTTTATTACTTGGCAAGGTGCAGGGGAGGGTTACCCATTACAGCTTCATGCAATTCACAGTCTATTTCTGGGAGCTGCTGGCCATTATAACAGAATTGAATTCACTGCCAGCTCTGCCATTCCTTTTCAATACCTTTCAATAGCAGAGCTTGGTTATTATTGATCACTCTCTCCCAGTTCATCCCATGCTTCTCTGCTCTTTGGACCAGTCAGCCAGGTTTTTTGGGTGCAGATGTTGAACCGATCTTCAGCCCAACTTGACTAAACGTTGCCACCTCTTTCCCTGTTTTCATCTTCATGACTAGCGCTACTTTCTGGGAATACTGATCCATGTTTGCTACAGAAATCCTGCAAGGATGTGGATAGGAATGAAATATTATTGTCAGATTAAGCCAATATTGCATTGAAAAAGGAAAAATACTGCCCCTCCCATCCTGGTGCCCTCCAGATGTGTTAGATTACATCATCCCAGCTGTTTGTGCTGGTTGGGAGTGATGGAAATTACAGGCCAAGAGCTGAAAAACCTCAGTCCTGTCAAAGCAAACGGTGACCTTGTTTTCCCGTGACTCTCTCAGATTTTTTTTTTTTTTACTCCTTTAATGCCTTTTTCCTCTTGGCACATTCAAGAGTTCTGTTTGTTGCTAGGTAACCTTCTGATTTAGCAGCACAGGATGAATGTCCCTGCTGGGAAATGGAAGGATACAATTAGTTATGAGAAGTCCTACAGCCTGGGGATGTCTCAGAAGCAGGCAAGACTGAAGAGTGCCAGCCAATCATCACATACATTCCCTCAAGGAAGGAGGTATCTGGGCACCGGTGACTAGACTACTGGGCGTCATCATATTTCATGTAGGCAAATTAGTTCATGAGGATTAGATTTTCGGCTTAACAACGGGGCTAAAGGCAGAGGTTTTCTATACATTACATACTCTGGCTACTGCCGATTCCACCATGATAAGTGTTGGTTTTCGAGACGTGCAGCTGGCAGCCGCCTGCTCTTCTGAGGCAATTCCTGGTCAGCAGCTCTGGGACTTTCATCTTTGTTCTTTATGATCATGTTTGCTAGCTAGAAGATTCTGTACATTAACCCTCAGGAAATTTATAACCACCCTCCTCCGACTGCCAAGATGAGCTGTAGGCTTTTGAGAGCTACAGAGCCTAGCCCCAGCCACAGCCCCCTCCCTTTTCTGCTCAGTCTGGGCACTTCACAGCTTGCACATCCCTAATTTGTTTAAGAATTTTACTAGGCCAAGAGGCTGATGCCAAGCATTGGACAGTAGAAGTTTTCTTCCATTTATTTAAGGCTCCTTGGTTTGCTGTTTTACATCATCTTTCATTGTTTCAAAAGCATGGAAAGTACAATACTGACAGCCCTTAGTTTTCATGGATTATTCAAGCCGGTTCATTATTTGTAGAAATTGCAGGGAGATTGCCCTTCTAGAACATTTAAAGAGGCATCCACTCCTTTTACAAGACCAAATGAGAGTAGCAAAACA